CGAGCTGGGGACTAGCGGAGATGGGTCCAGGCAAGGGCACCCACTGGCTGCAGAGGCCTGGGGCTCAGGACAGGAAGACCCCAGCCTCAGTTTCCCCCTGGGTAGAGTGGGGGCGGGGCAGGAATGATGGGGCTGACTGCTGAGGCCCCACAGTTTCTCTAGGGACTGTGGCCTCTGCCTTCCCAGGAGCCCCAGCATCTGCCACAGGAACCCTCAGGGGGGTACCACAGCACTCACCGAAGCCCCAAAGCCGCCCAGCTTCCTCCCCCCTCCACCAAAAGCCACAACTCAAGCACCCCATCTGTGGCAAGGCAGAGCTGCATCCTAGGTCTCAGCACCCCATAAGAGGTGGCCTAGGGGCAGGGGAGGGGGATGGGCAGCCCTGCCTAGACCCTTCAGGACCATCCTGTGGGGACACCGCAAGGCTACCAGCACAGCGCTGAGACCCGCATGTACCCACTTCTCCCTGCATCCCAGTGAGGGTTTGACTGTCTCTGCTTCACAGAGGAAGAGCCTGAGCACTTGGGAGTGGGGGAGGAGGGGGGGGGCGGGTTGAGCTGCTGTTTGGCTCTGTTTTATCTCGTAACCCCAGCTGGAAGAGTCCCCGGCCTTCAGTGCTGCACACGCTACTCAGGCCACCATGACTCTGTCGGGGACCATGTGCAGGGTTCACCCTCCTGCGGCACCCCGGCCCCTGGAAGCTCCACCCCATGCCCCCCCAAGCCACAGCCCAGAGCCAGGGGTTCTGCTGCTCCTCCCTCAAGGCCTACCTGGCCTCAGGTCTGTAGAAGGGACACAGGGCCGCCACACAGTCACCTTGAGATTGGGTGGAGCCCCGGGCACGAGCTGGGCACTGCAGGCTGGGCGGGCATGAGTGCCCGCAGGAGCAGCCTGGCCCATGCTCTTCTGGCCTGGAATCACTGAGGGGCCACTCTCACTGGTAGCAGCACCCTCCAGAGGGAACCCCCCGGAGCTGGACCTGAGCCCAGCCTCAGACCCGGGGTGCGCGGCCTTTCCCGGGCCGCCGTGCCTGCTGTCTCCAATCCCAGAAGTGGGCAGTCGCCCAGCTGGAGGTGGGTCTGGCCAGGGGAGTGTCGCCGAGGCCTCCTGGGCTGTTCCAAGGCTTCCGGCCCACTTGGTGGCGACAAGGAGGAGAATACACAGAATTGGCCAGCATAGAGAAGAGCAGAAACCGGGTTGGACAGATGCTGTAGGTGGGGCAGCGGGCCAGACAGGTCAGTGTGTGGCCAGGGTGGGGGGCCCACCCTTCTCTGCCCACCAAGCATCCGCCTGGCCCACAGGACACCCTCCTCCTTTCAGCCGCCTGGGAGGGCAGGTGTGAGCAGAAGTGAGGGCGCCCTCCAGAGGCCGGGGTGGGGAGCACAGCCGACCAGGATGTCCTGCCCACCCCTGGGTCAGGCCTGGGATGCTTCTTGGGGTCAATGGGCCTCCCTGTCCAGGACATCTCAGGTGGAGGAGTTTGGGGTCTTTGAGTCCAGGCACGCTGGCGCTGAGCCCCACATGCTCTCTTGGGAGGGGGGCACAACATCTGCTGCAGCACGAGCTTCCCCCCCCCCCCCCCCCCGCCTCTGCAGTGCATGAGGACCAAGGGGCTGGGAGGAGGCCGGGGAGCTGAGCGGATATTGATCTGGGCTAAGGGAGCAAAGGGGCCTGTAAAACCAGGCCGTTAACTCGGCAGAAACCAGCCGTCGCGGCTGGTGGGCGGCGGCCAGGCGGGCGGTGGAGAGTGGATACCCCTGCAGCCAGCACCCGGTGTGGAAAATGCTCACGTCCCAGCCCCGGACCCCAGGCAGCCTGGCGGGGGTCCCGTGACTGACCTCTGGCCCCTGAGCTCTGGACACTTCCTCTCAGCCCCCACACAGAGCCCTCTGGTCTTTCCTCCTCTGGAGTAGCTCGCCAGACCCAGTGCAAAGAGCACCACCTCCGGGAAGCCCTCCGTGAGGGTCACTCCTGACCACTAACACCCAGAGACTTGGGGTCTCTCCACCTTCTGCCACTCTGGGCTCAGGGCACAGGGAAGGGGTACTAACTCATTGAGTCGGGGGTGGGGGTGGTCCTCGGTTGGGAAGGACGGCTGCGAGCATGCTGGCGGATCTGCTGTCCACTGGGGAGATAGTGTCCAAAACCTGGGGAGGCCCAGTTCCTGTGACAAGCGTCCAGGGTCAGAGGTGCGAATCAGTCCTCCTGCTTGCAGGGCACCCCTTGGCTGACCGCTGGCACAGCTCAGCAGGACCCGCACCCTGGATGGGCAGTCGCAGTGGGGGTGGGCTGTGGGCTGGCAGCCTGGGGGAGGGTCTGGCCTGGGGTCCCAGCTCTGCCCTTCCCACCAGCTCCTCAGACACAGCGGCAGAGACAAAGGGCGGGAGGGGCCTTCCTGCCTCCTGCCCCCACCCCCCCTGGGCTGGCTCACTTGGGTCTGGGGTCCTGGGCGGGGCCTGGGCAGTACAGCCGCCAGCCAGGACCAGGTGACAGCATGGCCTGTGTGTGGGGGCCACCCCCTCCCACACTTGTTTCTCAGGCCGGACCCCGTCTCCCCCGAGGATCTTATCTGCCTCTTCCCTCCTTTCCCACCACACTAATCTCACCCTCTTCAGCGAGTTCCTGTTTGCTCCTGAGAGCCTTGGAGTTGCCCTCCCCTGGCCTCCCCCACCCGGCCTCTTGGGGGGCCCGAACCATCCTTTCCGCCTAGTTCCATCTCCCCTGGCTCCACCCGGGGCCCTAGGAAGAAGCTGGACCAGCTTGAACACCACAGTCCAATGGGCTTGGCTGTTCTTTGGGGTGTCTGGGGGCATCCGCAGCTTCCCACCCGGTAGGCTGAGGATTTTCACTCTAAGACCTCAAGGTGCCTAGAGCCAGAGATCTCCAGGTGACACCGGGAGATCCTCGTGCGGTGTCACAAAGGGGCCGGCATTGGCCCTGCATCAGACAAACAGGGTGGGGGGATACTCAGAGGGGCGCTGGGTGGGGCAGGTGCCTCCCCTCGGCACGGCCCGATGCTCTCGCCTGTCAGATGTCAGGATGTACTCAGCCGGCGGGAGCACGGCCAGGGCCACAGTACGGGGCCACTAATCAGTCTGCCCTCCTGACAGCGTCTCCACTCCGCTTTCCCCACTTGCCTGCCCCGGCTGAGAGCCAAAGCACTGGCCAGGGACGTCCCGGGGCCTCGGCTGCAGCCCAGGTTGCACTGCCGGGCTGGCCTGGCTCCCCTGGGCACCAGCCGTGCAGTACCACATCCTCTGCTCTTGTTGGCCTGGTTGGCCCAGTCTGGGAGAGGCCCCAGGCCCACTGAGCACTGCATGGCGAGGCAAACAGCCAAAGAGATACGGAGGAAGCCCCGAAAGCGTGTGTTGTTTTATCTGGTCAGGACTGTGTCTGGCCAGGACTCCAGATTCTGGGTTTCTGAGTGTAAGGGGCAGGTCCATGAGGAAGCCCAGAAAGAAGCTTAGCTAGGTGGGGCAGGCAGACAAAGTCTCCTCTGCCTTTACTCAGCACAATGGCCCCAGGAACTCAGAGGAGGCCAAAGGCTCAGACTGGGCTGCTCAGGGAAGGCTTCTTGGAAGAGGAGACATTCAGCTAGGCCTGGAAGGAGAGTGGACAATGACAGCTGCTGGGAGCTGCTTTCAAAGGCCCCAGGCTGGCCAGGAGCCAGGCTCAAAGAAGACTCTGTGGAGAGGGAAACGGGGGTTCCAGTGGGGTCCCCAGAGGGAAGAGGAGGCAGAAGGGAGGGGACACTGGGTGGTGGCACAGAGTCCAGGGGCAGGTCGGGAGCTGCAGGAGTTGCGCCCACCAGGAGTCAGTGAAGGTCGAGCAGACAGAATCCTCAGGGGTGATCTGTAGCTGGTGCCTGGGGGCCCCCTGCGGCCAAGGCCCCCCGAATCGGTTCTCTCGCTGTGCGTGCAGGACAGAGCCATGCCCCTCCCCAGCACCTCATCCCGCCTCTCCCAACTTGGTCCCGGGCTGTCCCAGCCCATCCAGCACCTCCCAGGGCTCTGGGCTCAGTATCTGTGCCTCTGCCCCCCCGCCTCAGAGTCCAGAGGCTTCCTCCACCCCCTCAGCACCCTCCATACCAAGACCCCAGACCCTCCACTCCACAGGAACCCCACGAGTCCCCACTGCCCACCTCCAGCTGTAATCCCAACACCCTCTTTGTGCTTTCTTGGGGGAGGGGATTGTTTGGGGACCACCCCCAGCAATGCTCAGGGCTTGTTCCTGGTTCTGCAGGAAGGAATTCCTGGCGGTGCTCTGGGGACCGTATGGGATGCCAGGATTCGAACCTGTGTTGCCCGCATACAAGGCAAACAAACACCCTCCCTGCTGCACCACTGCTCTGGCCCACCCAACACCCTCTTGGACAAGTGAGGAAACCGAGGCTCGAGTGGGGCAAAGCCTTCTCTAGGGTCACACTGGGGTCTGGGTCTGCCTGGCCTCTGCCCTGGGTCTTTGCCCCCTTGGTTTGGCATGGAGGTGGGGTGCGGGGTGCTGTTCTCTCAAAGCAGCTCCTGGGTCCAACGACAGCCAGGTGGGCATCCCCAGGAACAGGAAGCGGCCAGTTGGGCCAGAGGGGGCTGGAGGGCATGTGCGTGGGGGCAGGGACGGGTTCGCCAGGCCCCAGGATCCCCCGTGATCACTCGAGGAGGCATTTATTCCATACAGCTGTTTCAGACGCTTGTTTAAAATAGAGATCATCATCTATATATATTTATATATATATAAAATATATAAGGAGGAATTGAGGCGAACCACTCCCCCCTCCCCCCGGGAGAAAAAGCTGTTTTATAAATATTTCTGTAGCTCCCACATCCCAGAGGAAGGGAAAAAAAAAGAGAGAGAGAGATTAAACAACACAAAACAAAACAAAAAAAAAAAACATTTACAACCCAAGCTAGTGGTTCCATGTGGTGGTGGGCTCGGGGGTTCCAACCTGGACAGGCGGGATGGCCTGGGCTCTGCGGGCAGAACATTCAGAGGGGGTCCTGATGGCTGGGGGGCACGGGCAGAGAGAGTGTCTGGCGTGAGGGGTCGCCGGCCCCCGGCCCCTGGCTCCTCGGGCCAGCCTGGGTGGCCGCGAGGGCCACCCCGGGCTCAGTTAGTTTAGTTTCAGTCCAGGCGGTGCCTTTGCTGTCCAGCCCTGCTGGCAGGGGGCAGTGGCCGGCGCGGCCCGCGTGTCCACGGCGCCTCACTTGCACACGTAGCGCTCCACGGTGCGCTCACAGCGGCGGCAGGTCACGTAGCAGCACCAGTGGTACCGGCAGTGGCATCGCTCCACCACGCGGTCCGTGTAGGGGTTATAGCCGCGGCCACAGCACATGAGGTCACAGCTGTCACTGCCGTGGGACGTCTTGTTGCACTGCCTGCGGGGGGCGGGGAGAGAGGTCAGAGCCCAGGCCCACGGAGCACCCAGCACCCCAGCGCGCCCAGCCCCCCGCAGCTCAGCTCCAGGGACCGGCCAGTGACGCGCCTCCCCGCGCCCAGAGTGTGTCCTTATTGGGCAGTTCTGGGAGCCAGAGGGGCGTGTCCTCCCGGTGCTGCCACTGCTTCCTGCTCAACAGGGTCCAGGCTCACCCACCAGCGTGGATTCCCACCGAATCTTTCCTTTTGCTTGTTTTGGGTTTGGGGGCCACACCTTGCAGTGCTCAGGGATCACTCCTGGTGGGGCGCAAGGGACCATATGGGATGCTGGGGTTCGCATGCAGGGCAAGCGCCCTCCCTGCTTGGACTATCATTCTGGCACCATTCCCCTGGAATCTTTAATTTGTTTAATTTGAGTACAACAGAAGTAAAGCTAGCTGGCTTGTACTGTACTTTTTTTTTTTTTTGAGGGGGGAGGGGGGTTCTCCCAGGCTGGGCTCCCGGCACCGGTCTAGAGAGATCTCCAGGCCAACTGGACTGGAAGGTCAGTGCCAGGGCCCCAGGATGTCATGGGCAGCACAGCAGAGCCGGGCGCCTCCAGTGAAGGGTCTGCTGCTCTGAGCTGGGGGCTGCCAGGCCTCTGCTGGTGTCTGGGGTAAACAGAGACAGGAGGGACCCGGAGAAAGGACACGGACCCCGGGAGAGGCCAGTGAGGGTCTCGGGTGGCACAGGCCAGGAGGAGCACTCGAGGGAGCACGCCCCCCCTCTCCCCCCGGAAGGAGCCTGAGGGCTGAGCTCTGGAATCCTGCGTGCTGATGAGACCTCAGTCCGGGCCAGGACGCCCCCACGGAGACAGCACCTGTGCGCCTGTCTTCAGTGAAGAAAACTTCCTTCAAGCCCAACCTCCTAACTGGGAACACCACCTCCCCCTCCTCCAGGAATTTTTCCTGGATCTGCAGGCTGGGTCAGGGCCTCACCAGGCTCTCCTTGCCTCTGGGACATCCTCTGTGACTGTCTGAACATGGGGTGTCCCTGTCCCTCCCCTGAACCCATGACGCTGCATGTCACGAGTGTGTGGGGAAGGATTCTGGGGTTCTTTGTTACAGCATTGATACACATGCTGGCGGAGGCCACCCAGAGGCAGAGCTGAGAGCTGAGTCCGGGGGTGAGATGGTCAGTCAGTGGCTGGCACTGCGGGATGAGGCACAGGGCAGCCCAGAGAGGAGAGGCATTGGGGACAGGGATGCTGAGGCGGGGCCGGAAGCTGGGGGCCTAATGCGGCAGCGGGGGAGGGTCCAGGGAGACACAGAGCCTGCCAAGAGGCACGAGGTCAGGGTGGGCAGCGTCCTCCCGCCAGACACACGGACCCCGTGGACAGTCCCCACCCCGCTTCCTCCTGCCCCTGGCCTTAACTGCTCCCACCCTCGCCCTCCTGACCCCCTCAATCTGGCCTCCAGATGGGCGCCTGGGCCTCCTCGCAGAGCCGCTGGCCGGGGCCATGCGGATGGAGCCCCCCCCCCCCCACGGCCCCCCTACTCTGGGAGACGAACGTGGGCTGTGGAGGAAGCAAGTGCTGGCTGGGCCCCAACTATGTGCCAGACACGTTCCCAGACACCCTCTTTCGGCTTCAATATTCTTTCCACCCGCAGAACAAGAGTGTTGTGGAATGCTATTAGGCTCCTTAATAAAAGAGTTCCCGGCCAACACCTCGGGGAAACCTGGCTGGCAGGCCCTCGCCGCCCGCTCCGACCAGCCTTTCCTATGTTCCTTGGAAGACACAAGGAGAACTTCCCAGAGCAGTGAGACTGTGGGCCTGCCTGCCTCTCTCAGCTCAGGATGGACAAATCCCTGGCAGACACTGCTGGTACACACACAGTGGGTCCGCATCCCCACTCTGCTGGGCACACAGTGGGCCCACAGCCCCCCACCACGGACACATAGTGGGTCCACAGCACCATCCTGGCGGGCACATCGTGGGTCTGCAGCCTCGCCTTGCTGGTCACGCTGTGGGTCTGAAGTCCCACCCGCTGGGCACACAGTGGGTCTGCAAACCTACCCTACCTTGGGGCTGGAGAATTAGCACAGCGGGTAGGGCATTTGCCTTGCACGCAGCCAACCTGGGTTCGATTCCCAGCATCCCATAGGGTCCCCTGAGCACCAACAGGAGTGATTCCTGAGTGCAGAGCGAGGAGTAACCCCTGTGCATCACCGGGTATGACCCAAAAAAGAAAAAAATACCCTACCCTGTCTTGCACACAGTGGGTCTGCAGCCCCCTAAGGCGCCCTCTCAGGTAGAGACCCTGCAGTGACAGAGATAGGGCTGCGGAGGCCCCAGCCCTGACTCTGATGGGGAATGCGGAAGGGGTAGGTGCCTGTTGGGGCAGTCTACAGCAGGCTGGACTGTCTGAAGAGTGGCTGTCCCAGCGGATGTCCTGCCTGGCCCCCGCTGTGCTGCCCAGTCCCCGTCCCACCACATTCCCCTTCCCCTCCCTGAGCCTCAGTTCCTCAACTGTTCAATGAGCACATAGGGACATTTGTCCTTCACTGATTCATCAGGTGAATGCGCCCCGCCTCTTGCCATCTGTTCCCATGAGGCGGCCTCCACCAGCGTCCAGTCCCAAGGGTCCCTCCCGATGTTCAACAGCCGCGTTCCTGAAGCCCCGGGGCCCTGGCATCGCCTCCCCCACTCCTGGGGGCCCCTCGGGGTGCGTCCCCAAGGGCCCGGGTGCCCTTACCTGTCCTGCGTGCCCTGGGAGCCCACTTTCTCGTTCTTCATGCAGAAGTCGGGTGAGCTCTGCAGATACACCAGCTCCGAGTCCTTCACGGGCCGGATGTCCAGGTCTTTGGGTACCAGGTGCTTGCGGGTGCCCATGGGCCGGTGCACCACCTTGGTGGCCGACAGGTAGCGGGTCTTGAGGTCGGCAGCCACATCACGGAGCTCCTGCAGCCCTCTCCAGCAGGTACGGATGGAGCAGGAGCCCGACACTCCATGGCACTTACACTTCACCTCCAGGGCCGCGCGCAGAGCCTGCGGACAGGGGGCGCGTTGGGCTGCGGCCAGGGTCCCCTCCCCACCCCCAGGTTCCTCGCAGGGAGTCCCCCAGTCTCCAATGAGGGGATCTGCCGCTATGAGCGGGGGGGGGTTGCAATTTCGGCGCCTCCTCCCCCTGGAGAGGGAGTTTGGGGGGCAGGAAGAGCCTCCCTGGCAGCTCTGGCGGCCGAGTGTCCTCCAGCAGGTGCACCGGGGGCTCTGTAGCTGGCCGGGCTGGCCGGGCGCAGCGTGGACATGGCGGTGGCATTATTTCTTTCCTTTTCAAAAGGGAAACCAAGGCTCAGCGAGGTGGAGGCCCTATCCCAGGGGACACAGCGGGGAAGCCTTGGAGTGACTTTGTGCCATGGTCTTCCTCTTCCCCAAACTGGGCTAGGAGGGCTGGGAGAACCAGAAGGGAGAAGGGGAGCACTGGGCAGGAGGGGGCGCTGGGGTCCCCATGGGCAGGAGGGGGATGCTGGGACCCCCGTGGGTCCGAGGGGGCACTGGGGCCCCATGGATAGGAGGGTGGTCCTGGGGCCCCGAGGGCTTCTGCTGGAAGAGTTCAAGGCAACATATCAGATTCTATAAACTGTGAAAGTGGAGTTGGGACAGGCTGGGAATGGTCCTTCCAAGGAGTGACCACAGTAGCTCTGGCTACTCCCTGGGCCTCAGTTTCCCAGAGCGGAGGGAGGTGTAAGGCATGAGGCCCACGCCCAGTTGGGCTGTCACCCTCTATACTGGGCACGCTGGACCCAGCCCTCTGGCCACCTTGGCATCAGAAGGACGAGGAAACTGAGGCACAAAGAGGTCAGGGACTTGTTCCCCACCCCAATTCTTTGCAAGGAGCGGGTCTGGGTTGTGAGCAGAGGGAGGAGGGAAAGTGAGGTCTGGCCACAGTGCTGGATTGGACAAAGCCCACAGAGCACGTGGCGGGACCTGACACAGCTTTGGTGCCACCACTGTGTCCACAGGGCATGGGGGGAGGGGTGTGGCAGGAAGTAGGGGCTGTGGGGGTCTGACCCTCAGAAGGTGGGGGCTGTGGGGGTGTGAGCCTCAGAGGGTGGGGGCTGTGGGGGGCTGTCCCATGGACAACGCTGCATGCAGGGAGGCTGCTCAGTTCCTTGCCATGGGCCCCTGGAGAGCACTGTAGAGTGAGGGGTGCTGGCTGCTCAGGCCTGCACTAGGGTACCAGGGCGGGGGCTCACTGGGTGTCCCAGGGTGGGGCACAGGAGTCCAGTGGTGCTGGCAGGTTTTCTACAAACCCACAGTATGACTCAGTCTCAGTTTCCCCAACCCCTCTGTGCTGGGCCCCCAGGCCTGGCCCTATGGCCCCACACCTCCGGCTGAGAGGAGTTCCCCCTACTCCTGGAGCATCTGTGAACCGGCCCTATGGCTGTGGAGAGCATGTCATCCCCGAGTACTCAGGGGAGGGGTGTCAGCTTCGAGGGGCCCTGCTTCTCCCACAGTGGGGGTAGTGGCCTCAGGAGGGAAAACCCATCCCGGCCCAGTGTCCAGCCCCAGTGTCCAGCAGCACAGAGCATAGCTGGTCCTCCAGCTCAGTTCCTTTTGTTTGCTTGGGGGCCACACCCAGTGATGCTC